ATGCATTTTTTTTTTACTGACACACTTCCCAAAAGCTAGCGAAGTGACCAAGCATTAGACATTTTTTTTTATTTTTTTGTGGGGAAGAGTTTTAGGTTGGGCAGTGATTTCTATCTCGTCTCCTTATAAAGTAGTAATGTTAGACTTGATCTGTGTTATCGAAGACAATAGGAAAAAACGGTTGACAAGCGTGACGTGAAGTAAAGGCTTTCCAAAAATAAAAAGTCTCTCTTGTCTTTTTGCTCTAAACTGCCACAAGAACGGCTCAGAAATGTCAATATTTGCTGAGAGTAATGATGAAGCAAATGTCAGTGCATTTTATAAATAACAATGGTGCAGATACATGCAGTTACAGGAGTGCATGAAACCTGAATTCCTGCAAGGTGCACCGAATTAAGTGAATTTTACAGCGCCATATATGCCTGATATCATGCAGGCATACAACGATTTGCCCATTTTTAACAAATATTGGGTTGGTGTATAATTATCAGGCGTTTTTCTAAGCGAGATATTTGTTAATACAAATTGCTGTTTCGTTTACTTTTTTAATAAAAATATTTTATTTTCAGTTTATAAACGTGCGTCGTTAATCATACGCTCCGGAATAATCATTTAAAAATGTTATTGTTGAATTGTTATCTTTCTTTTTTCATAATAGATATTGTTTCAAAAACGCCCGATAATTATGCACCAACCCAATATATATTTTAAGTATTTTTCTGTGTTTATTTGGTCTGTATATTTGGCTAGAATAAAACTCCATGGTAAATTTCAACCAGAAGATTAGAAATTTAGTCAATATTAAGATAAATATTTATATGAATTGTTATAGTTGGTGGCTGACATAGTTGCGTAATTATTCACTTACACTAAATAAATACTTGCGAAAGATAACCTTGCTTTCAATACATTTGTACTGGGGAAAAGGTTGAGTAAATATCTATGCTTGTCGCTGAGAATAACATCTTGTTTGGGATAAAATTTGAGGTTAATTTCTCAATGAATAAAGGACTGCCGATGTAAATGATAAACTACGTTTTTGCATCTATTTCTGATTTTCTTAACACGACTTATGCTTTCTTTCTTACTCTAAGAACACCTGTTCCTTTGCAAGAAGTGATTTGGGATTTGGACACGATTTGGATCTGTTTAAACAACAGAATTTGAAACTGGTTCAACTTGTTGAAGATAAAAAAAGGAAATAGTTAAAAATCGTCAAGCTACGATAAGTCATAGGTGTGATTACGTTAAGTGATATAGAATCCCTGACACGAAAATTAATCTTAAATTTACCTGAGATTAATTAGATATTTTTGTGTTTGCATATCTGCGTGTATGCTATTATGTGTGAATATGTTTTTATATATTTAAATTGAATTTGAAGGCAAATGTTGCATGACAATCGACAACGCGTTAAAAATAGAAAACTTCTGTTCCCGATATTCTATAAAATTCTCTTTTTAGCTTTTTATTGATATTGGATTTCTATAAACGTTTCTGCCTCCACCTGCGTTCATTCCTATCGCCATTGTTAATGGATTTTGCATCGCGTGTTCGCTTAAAACCAAAAAATTTGGCAGACTCAAATACAAACAAACTTTTCTTTCATGTTATTGTTCATGAGAAAGACATAAAACCTGTTTTACTTGTTCAAATTTATCTTTCAATCGTACATAAATACCAATTAACTTTTAAGCCGAATATTCTATTAGAATAAGATTTTTGAGGAAACGAAATGTTAGAGATGTGATTCTTTGACACACACAGAGACACAAGCACACGCGCACAAATAGGTCTTCTTTTCTTTTGTTCGTCTGGCGTATTTTGTTATATTTGCTACAAAGGTGAAAAAATACTTAGCAAGTAATATTTCCTTGTTTTTCATTGTCGTAACAAAAGTGCGTTTGTTTAACTTTCTTATCTATCTCTGACTATGTGTAGCGATTTTCCAAGCGCAGCTCAGACGTGGCACAAGACCGAACGTATGGGACACCCTGTGAGGATCGAACTCACTACTCAATCGTAATTGTTCTAGCGAGACAAGCTTGCTAACCATTACACCAACTCAAGGTGCCCACTCTGAATATGTGTATGTGTGTGTTTGTCTGTCGGCGCAGGGTATTTATTTCTAAAATTAAATCAATAACATTAAAGGGTTTACCAATAAAAGGTCAGATTTCCTGGGATGGGCTCACCTGAGATTTACCAACATTTTCTTGATGATCCTCTCATTCTCCATCGGCCTATCAGCGGAATAGTTATTTCTAAAATTGTCGGAGGTCAAAACAAAAATCTGATGACGTCTTTCAAAATTGTGGAGTGGTTCTGTCTTCGTTCTAATCCGTCAGACGAAATTGACATATTATAGAAAGAGATTGCATTAATCAGTTTAGTCGACCTCCTCCTCTGTCCAATCGCTTTTTTGAAAGCAATGGCGACGGAAGAGTTATGAAAGAAAGAGAAACAATAACAAGTGCTATTAACTGATATTTATTTTGATTAATAGAAAAGTTTGTGGGGCATTTCTTTCACAAATCATCGTGTCTTACAAACAAATTCTGCCTCGGCAGTGTCAGGCAAAATTATATTTTTCTAGGAATTTTCTTTATTATTTACTTGAAACTTATACGTAAAGCTTATGAAACCTACACCCTTGCGCAAATTAATTTTAACAACGTCTTTAGTTTCCTATTTTTTTTTTTCACCATATGGTAAGTCTTAGACCCACTAGAGTGACACGGTTTAATAGATTTCTATTTTTTCAGATTAGGTCATTTGCAGTGGTGAATATGAATCTATTTTTCATAATGAAATTTGTTTGGCCTTGAAACATATCGCGTCATCCGTGATTAAATCAGATCTTTATCGCACCCAGGAACTCTTGTCTCGACTGTCGATTAGTTGTCCTACGGTGATTGTATGCGATGGAGGTTATTCCAAGGAAGTGTACGAAAATTGTAAAGCTGCACAAACACACGGGCAAGCCTTACTAGTAAGCAAATCAAAGTACTAGACTGGCCCGGAAACTGTACTGATTTAAATACAATCGAGAATCTGTGGCCAAAGAACGACTATATACAATATACTAATATATACACTGGGTCATGTTTTATTGGAAATATACGAAAAAAAGTAAATAACGGAATTATTCGTTTTGTTTCAATTAATTTTCACAAAGGTGTATTGTATTCTTAATTCATATAACAGCTGTTCTTTTCGTCTTTATGCTTTTTACATTGGTAAGCATCTGTTATTCCAATGTTTGTTACTAGGAAACAAGATTATCTAATCTCTATCTAAAAAAAGGCAGAATGTGTGTGTGTGTGTGTGTGTGTGTGTGTGTGTAACGAATGCACTGCCGCAATTTTCGACGGATTTGCACCAAAATTTACATGCACATGCTCCAGGTTAGTGTAAAGGCCAAGATTGACTTTGCATTTCCCAACTCCCATCGATAGTGGAAATAATCGATTTTTTCTTGCTTCTACGGCAGTTTTCCTGTAGTTTGCGGCCATTTTGTACTGGCCAGAGTAAGAGCCAATAGCTAGCTGCCACGAATAGGCAGGAAGATTCTATTTGCCAGCGTGATTGCCAACAGCTGACTGACAAGAATGTTAACTAGCATGCTAGCATGCGGAAAAAAAATCGATAGCTGCATTCGTCACAAGTGGGAAAAATTTAAATCTGCATGGCACTTTACTCCAATGGACTCATTCACTTGCTTAAACTCAACGTTGATTTGGTTCCTTCAACCTCACAACTACGATTGGTTGCATGGTAGACGCTACTCATCTGTTCTTACCTACATTTGTCGAACTCGAATACGATTTTCCTTTGTGGTCTCTTTTTCTACACTACTAAAACTCCACGCGTTGGCAGCCCCCGTAGTGGACACATCCCTAAACCTGACACTGCTATACCTTTTACTGTTGTTAATACATGAATTCGTTCCTTTTTTTCTTTTTTTTTTATAATGCCACTAAAGAAGAGAATCCCATTGGGTCGGCTGAGCACTAGGTCACGACAACAGAGGGCTTTGAGAGCCAGTGAGAGTTTGGATGAGGCCAGGGCGCAGAATTAACGTAATTGCAACACCAATGGCCGCGTCTAGGGCCGCTGAAAGTGTGGATGAGCGCAAGGTGCGGAATTCACGCAGTGCAACAGCTATGGGCACATCTAGGGCCGCTGAGAGTGTGGATAAGTGCAGGTCGCGGAATTAACGTAATTGCAACACCAATGGCCGCGTCTAGGGCCGCTGAAATTGTGTATGAGCGCAGAGCGCGGAATTCACGCAGTTCAACTGCTATGGGCACATCTAGGGCCGCTGAGAGTGTGGATGAGTGCAGGGCGCAAAATTCACGTAATGCAACAGTTATGGCCGCGTCTAAGGCGTCAGAAATACCACAGCAACGGATCCTCAGGCTTGAAGGTAACAATAAACGCAGATGTGCTCTCCAGGGTATTGCTAGCCTTTGTAAATCATTTCGGCTACGTCGAGCTTTTAAGTACGATCCTACTGTTAGTTACAACTGCCGATCAGATATACTAATTGGTTCTATGAACCAGGCCTATCGTCACTGTGGCGTCCTAAAATGGCCTGGAGAAATGCCTGGGTTGTGCTGCTCGATTGGCAAAATCCATTTGCCCCCAATTAGGGAGCCGCCTCTTCCCCTAAAGGAGTTACTTATGGGTCCGAATGCCGCTTCAAGTGCTTTTCTAAAAAATATACGTAGGTACAATTGTGCTTTCCAAATGACTTCGTTCGGGACTGATGTAGTTAAAAGAGGCTGGATGGATAACCACTTTTAAGGTACAAGGGCCAGGTTTACCACCTGATTGGCTCGCTACTACCTCAAAACGAACAGTCGCATTCATTCCTTCAAATCAACTTTATTTCTGATTACAATCAGCAGGCCGATGTTAGGTGCGGCATTTTTTCCTCCCGCGGAAGCAATCCTGCGTATACCGTTGACAAAGATCTCCTGCTTGCGTTGCAGAATATGCTCCATGAATGGAGAAGCTACGTTCGAAGCTTTAAGTACACTTTAGAAACCTCATCTAGCCGCGATATTTCCATCATTATCGATGCAGATAAGAGGCCTTCGGGCGAACACTTACGCCGTTACAATGCTCCCTCATGCAATGAGGTTGCTGTGCTACGCCATGGTGATCAACATAAACCTCGAGATATTGTTCTTCACTGTCGGAACAGCCAATTACAACGCATAAGTGAAACCCACCGCTCATACGACGCACTCCAGTACCCGCTTCTTTTCCCATATGGAGATGATGGGTATCATGTTGGGATTCCTCAGTACGGGCCTGGCACTAACTCATCGGTAACCACGAAAACTGTATCCTGTATGTCATTCTACTCATACCACTTTATGGCTGCGAAAATGGAGTCGGAAAGATTGGGTTTCATTAAACTGAACCAGAAAAAGCTTAGGTGTGACAGCTATATCCACCTGCAAGATGGGATTAGGAATGAGGTAAACCCCCGCAACCTGGGGAAGGCTTGCATTTTGCTCTCATCATTTACAGGGGGTCCACTATATATGCACGCGCGAACCCAAGATGCTATAACTTACGTATGCCATTACGGTCGTCCATACCTCTTTATCACGTTTACCTGCAACCCTAAGTGGGTCGAAATTACGTCTAAATTACTTCCAGGGCAGCAATACTGTCACCTTATCGCTCGGGTATTTAGGCAGAAAGTCATTAAGCTCATGGATTTGATTACAAAAGACCAAATATTTGGTCGTGTTAGGTGCGACATGTACACCATCGAGTGGCAGAAAATGGGGTCTTCCCCATGCCCATATCCTTATATGGCTTACAAACAGAATTGATCCAACTACAGTGGACGATATAATTTCGGCTGAAATCCTGGATCCCGTTCTCGATCCACAATTGTACGAAATCGTAAAGTGCAACATTGTTCATGGACCCTGTGGACCTGGGTTCGAAACCTTCTCTGCCTGCCATAGAAATAATACTAATAATAATTTTCTTAAAAAAAAATTACTGATGAGACCTCAACCACAGAAGACGGTTACCCCCTTTATCGCAGGCGCCAACCTGAAAATGGGGTCTTCACCGTTAACATTAAGGGGCATAGCGTAGACAATCGGTGAATTGTGCCGTACTGCCCTCTCCTTTTGAAAACTTTTAACGCATATATAAATGTTGAATTTTGTAATTCTGTTAAGTCTATAAGGTGCATTTGCAAGTACGTCAATAAGGGTTCAGACGCAGCCATGTTCACACTCCAAAACGCCAACTGTCGGGATGAGGTATCGAAGTACTTGGCAGGTCGTTACATTAGTAGCAATGAAGCTTTTTGGCGAATTTTCGGTTTTCCACTTCATCAAAGGCATCCTGCTATTGTGCAATTGGCTGTTCATCTAGAAAATGGTCAGCGAACCTATTTCACGGAGGAAAATGCAGTCGAGATTGCAATGAATCCAAAGGACACTACGCTTATTGGTTTTTTAAACTGTGCTGCCACGACACTTTCGCCCAGACACTCCTCTACCCCCAGGTTCCTTCCTACTATGTTTGGTCGGGAAATACTTGGATTCGAAGATAAACGGGTCAGGACGTTAAAGGGCAGCCAGGAGTAAAATGGCACAGCTGCTTAGACAGAGTTTACACCGTACCACCAAGCCAGCAGGAGTGTTTTTATCTCCGACTGCTCCTGCATGAGGTACCTGGGTCGCAGAGCTTCCAAGATCTCTTAACTGTCGAAGGTTATGTCTACCCTTCATTCCGTGAGGCCTGCTTTAGGCGCGGCCTTCTTCAAGATGACACGCAATGGGATTCTACCTTAGCAGAGGGCGTCCTTTTGAGATCTGGCTGTCTCCGGTATCTATTCGCAATACTTCTTCAGTGGTACGAAGTAACCGACCCAAATTGTTTATGGGAGCGCTACAAAGACCACATGTCAGAAGATTTCCTACGTCAAGCTCAGTCCCATAATCCTGACATCCAGGTTACATTCAGCGGGATAATATACAACAGGGCACTAGTTGTACTCGAAGACAATCTTCTAGAGGGAGGTGGTAGTACACTTGCGACATATGGCTTACCACCTATACATCGTGAACGCGTTAGTGATCTTTCCACTGATTTGTTGAGGGAGACGTCATATAACGTCGAGGAGCTTGAGATTTATTTTGCGGAGAACTTCTTCCTGAACAGAGAGCAGCCTTCGATGCTATCGTTGACTCCGTACGGTACCAAACGGGTGGTATTTTCTTTCTCGATGCTCCCTGGGGTACAGGTAAGACCTTTGTTACTAAACTCATACTTTCCGAGCTCAGGCGTACCGGTGATATTGCACTAGCGGTGGCATCATCGGGTATCGCAGCTACTTTGCACCCGGGAGGAAGGACTGCTCACTCAGCATTTAAGTTACCTCTCGACTTGGTAAAAGAGACCCCGCCCATCTGTAATATCTCAAAAAATTCTGACAAAGCTGAGGTTGTTCGACGTTGCAGGGCCATAGTTTGGGATGAGTGTACCATGTCCCATAAAGGTGCAGTTGAGGCCCTTGACAGGCGTGACATCAAAGATTGAGATCGTACTATGGGGTATCACACTTCTATCAGGTGATTTCAGACAAACACTGCCTGTAATGCCATAAGGGCTGATGTCGTGGGAGCCTGTCTTAAATCCTCGACTTTGTGGTCCCAAGTAAGGACACTAAACATGCGTGCCCACATGAGGGGTGACACCGCCTACTCAGAGTTTTCCCAGCGGCTTTTGGTTCTGGGCGAGGGTAGACTGCCATCAGATGATAATGGAATGGTTTCGATTGAATCCGTTTGCACAGTCGTCGAGACAGCTTCTCAATTGGTGAATTGCGTCTTCCTAAACCTCGAATCCAATTTCCGTAACATGGAATGGCTTAGTCAACGCGCCATTCTTGACCCCAAAAACCGTACTCTTGATGCGATTAATGACGAGCTTCTCTAACAAATCCCAGGCGAAGACCGAGTCTACAAATCCATCGATAGAACACCAGACTATGAGAATGTTGTTGACTATCCAATCGAACTATTGAATTCACTCCAACCTCCTGGTCTTCCCCCTCACGTTCTAAAGTTGAAGGTCGGGGTTCCAATTATGCTCCTTCGCAACTTGGTTCCCCCAAAACAATGCAACGGCACACGTTTGGTGGTGAAGTCGCTATCTTCAAACCTCATTGAGGCTGCGTTGCGGACGGGGAGAGGTAGGGATGATTCCCCGGATGCATCTGTACCCCCCTGGAGCAGACATTCCCTTCGCGTTCAGGAGGTCTCAATTCCCTGTGAGGGTCTGTTTTGCAATGTCCATTAACAAGGCACAGGGGCAAACATTGAGTGTATCGGGGTTGCACCTAGGTGAACAATGCTTCTTGCACAGTCAGCTTTACGTTGTCTGCTCACGTGTAGGGAGAAAGAGTGATATTTTCGCTCTGACACCACAAGGTTCGGCGAAAAATGTTTTCAACGAAGTTCATTAGGACTGCCAGCCATTAGAGCGTCTGTCCGGTAACCGGCGGCTCCCGGTCCCCCTTAGCCTCATCTCACGCATCTCACGGCCAGCTGAGGGTAAAGACCCCCCCTAAGTGGGCATAAGCCTAGATCGGGATTACTCGCTGCCTCTTAAAGGCTCCCGAACACCTTTTCGCTAGGTCCCAGTTAGGCTTAGGTAGGCAGTTTAATTTGAGTCCAATCTTAACCACGGTTAGGGGAGGTGGGGTGTAGTGTCAAAAGGGCTGGCACGTGCAACTCGGTCACCTACGCCAGCCAAACTCCCAACCCATGCGTTCCCGCCGCGACACTGATTCCGCCGAACTGGGTTGGCTGTGAAAAACTATTTGTTGTTAACATTCTTTTTTCATTCGGTTTTTCCAGTTACGAGTCCTTTTTTAAAGCTGATCGTTTTGTGTTTATTTTGTTTAGTTTTTTTTTTTCGTAACAGATTTAATGTTTTGTATAGAGCTTAGAAAAAATTCGCAGTGTGAGATAGGCAAGAAGTAAGGCATGTAGCAACATCAGCACGGCAAAGAGCACTCCTTTAAAGTCATGGAAGGGCAAAAATATTTTAAGTCAAGTGATAGCGATTGCTGTATGAGTCATACGATTTTTGAATCAAGCACGGGCAACGCCGAGCTATGCTGCTAGTCATAAACTATAAACTAAAAAATATGAATATGTTATCTGGCAAGCGTGTGCCCTCATTAAGCATTTTTTTTATAGGAAAGCCGCTTATGGTCTATATAAAGCAAGTTGACACTATAAGGAAAAAAGAATTAATGAGATATATAAAGAGAGAGGGGAAAGCGAAAACGAAGAAAAAACTGAAAGAGAGATAAAGTAATCATATTTATAGAAGCCATAATGGCCAGCAATTTTTACGAAAATCATTTTATTCCGTTAATTTAATTCACAAGGATGATGGCATCTGAAAGTTAATTGACAAAAGAGTGTATATGATGACTAACGTAAGATTCTGTCATAAACACAACACCTTTCCATCAGCAGCCATTTCCAGTGAAATTAGTACAAAAATTTGAAGTGAGAATAAACTTTTATGGAAGACTTGTGTCATTATTGACAAATTTGGTTAATTTCCTATCTGAAAAGAAAACTTTATGGAAGAAAGGAAACTTCCTCTATAGATTTTCTTAGTTCTGTTTTTAGGGTTTTTTTTAAGTCATGATAGCTGATCTTTTTCGGCAATTTTGGGAGGACTAAATCCTATAAATCAGCGTATGAACAGAACAATAAAAGATGTCTTCTTATGTATGGGTGCAAACATATTCAGAGAGAAATTAAGTATTTTTTTTCTATTCTTGGGCTTTTTTCTTTTTGGATATTTTTGTGGTAAGCTTCGCCAAAATGTCTATCTTGCTTCATTCTTGTTTCTCGATTTTTTTTTTTTTTTTTTTTTGAATTCTGTATTCTGCATCCCTTTTAGAATTCACTTCATTTCCTCACATCCTTTTTCGCAAAAATCTTCAATTCATCACGTGATTCATTACGTAATTCGTCACGTGATTCATCACGTGATTCTATACATTTCCTTATTTTCACCCAATTCTCTGTATATATATTTGTTCTCTACTTGAAAATATTACTTTGTAAAATTTACTTCTTTTCTTATGACTTATTTCTTTGGGCCTTTCGCTTGATGCGTTGCTTTAGTAAACTTCTTTTCAGCTACTATGCCATTTTTTTCTTTTTCTTTCAGATATTTAAGCAATAGTTTTAATAATCACCTGCTTTTTCCTACATTTCATCTAAAATTGAGAGTTTTTTTTATTCTTATTAAGGCGCAAAGTTTCTTTACTTTTATTTGATTCTTTAATTGTCATCGTATTTTTACTGATGCCACGGAGTATATAACTTCATTTGTTTTTGGTTAAATTACGATGAATTTTGCTTATTATTTCAATAACTGCTATGCTTGACATTTTAATAATGTTTTTCACTGATTTTTCTCAATTAGACCCTTTCTTCCAATTTGCTGCTTTTTGTTTTTATTAACTCTCTTTTCTTTGTTTTCATAACACTCAACTTCTTCATTATCTTGTGGCTTTCTTTATATATTAATTGGTTTTCCATGTTCCCGATTTTCTTTTTGTCCGTTTGATTTTTATTAAAATTTCATTTTTATTCTTTGCCTATTGATTTGTGTTTTAACATTTTTCAATTCTTTTCATCGTTCAGTCTCTCCCTTCATTAACAGCAATGTACGCGAGACTTTAATCAAAACCAAATTTGCTAAGCACCTTACTTCCGGCGACCTCTTTTCGGATCGGTGGAGTAATGGATAGCGGCTCGGACTGAGGAATCGGAGAGCCGAGTTCGAATTCAGTCGAATCCATTACATTCACTTACGTGCTAATACACTTGGGAAGGTAGGAACGCTCTTCTTCAGCTATTGTTAAATAGCGGGACAGACCGGGTTCTATAGCCTTGGATGGAAAATGGTCAACCGCAGAAAGAAATGGCAATCGACATGATCGAAAGATACATGATTGCCTAAGCGTGTATCATTCATGGCACATAACTGACTGAATATGTCTTCTTTTCTCCAGGTCAGCCACTGATGTATTAAGGACCGTCACTGAATTTGTCTATTAAGCTTTACATAGGAGAGGAGAAGCTCGGGCTGTGGGCCTAAATATCTCAGAGGTGTACTAGAGAGTTTGGCAGGATCAATGGCTACCCTGTACCGGACGAATATTTAACTTAATCAAATCGTGCCTAACAAGTAGTGTAAAAAAGTTCGTATTGAACGGATACGTTTTTAGTTCATTTCATATTAATGCAGGCATCCACTAAGGCTCTATCTTCTGACCTACGCTTTTACAGAACTTCATCAACAACCATCCACATGATATGAATTCCAATTTGGAATTTATGCAGATGACACAACGATTTACTTCTGTATATGTAGCAAGTCCGACAGATGCGACAAAGTAAACCTGGCAACTGCTGACGAAAAAGACCTCCAATAAGGGCTAAACCAGGGCAAGTATAGGTTGTAAATTTTAACGCCTCCAAATTTTGTTTAATCACTACGAATATTTTCCTACTGCCATCAGATGCTAATGCTGAAGGAATAGTTTGTAAATTTTAACGCCTCCAAATTTTGTTTAATCACTACGAATATTTTCTTACTGCCATCAGATGCTAATGCTGAAGGAATAGTTTGTAAATTTTAACGCCTCCACAACAAAACTACTTTCATTTAATCACAACAAAGAATCTTTTCTAACTGCCATCAGATGCTCAATTCTGAATGAATAGTTTGTAGATTTTAACGCCTCCACAACAAAACTACATTCATTTAATCACCACAAAGAATCTTTTCTAACTGCCATCAGATGCTAATGCTGAAGGAATAGTTTGTAAATTTTAACACCTCCACAGCAAAACTGCTTTCATTTAATCACCACAAAGCATCTTTTCTAACTGCTATCAGATGCTAATGCTGAAGGAATAGTTTGTAAATTTTAACACCTCCACAGCAAAACTGCTTTCATTTAATCACCACAAAGCATCTTTTCTAACTGCTATCAGATGCTAATGCTGAAGGAATAGTTTGTAAATTTTAACGCCTCCACAACAAAACTGCTTTCATTGAATCACCACAAAGAATCTTTTCTAACTGCTATCAGATGCTAATACTGAAGGAATAGTTTGTAAATTTTAACGCCTCCACAGCAAAACTGCTTTCATTTAATCAACACAAAGAATCTTTTCTGACTGTCATCAGATTCTGACGACAATGCAATAGCTTATAAATTTTAATGCTTTCAAATCAAAACTTCTTTCATTTAATCACCACAAAGAATCTTTTATGACTGCCATTTGATGCTGATGCTAAACTCCAGCAGAGCGATACTTTACACCTTCTTGTTGCTCACATTTTCCGTGGACATGCATTGGACGAATTATATTGTATCATTTTCCGGTCTGCTGTTATGAAAATTGGTTCACATTCTCATACCAGAAATGTCTTCTCATCACAATCCTCGTTAAACATTTATAAATATACAATTCTTCATTGAATATTGGTGCTATATCTTGTCTGGTGTTTCTAATATATACAACTTTGGGATTCTGAGCAGCCACCTTCTTGACCCAGGGAAGCACTACTCCCTCCCTTGTGTCTGAGGCCCTGATGAATGGAGTGTTTTTAATTTAAGTTAAATCTCCCGTGGAAGCATGAAGAGCGGGAGCGAAACCGGTTGCTTTGTTTTTAATATGTCTAGTAATTTAAACTTTACACTTTTATTTCTGTGATTAAATTTTGTACCTACTTTATATATATAAATAATATATATATATATATATATATATATATATATATATATATATATATATATATATATATATATATATATATATATATATATATATATATATATATATATATATATATATATATAATATATTTTGAAACTTAGCTGATTCATGTTACCTTCAGCATCTCAGCTCCAGGTTTCGTAACCCCCGAGAATTATACCGTCCACTCCTTCGGGGGGACATCAACAATATATATATATATATATATATATACATATATATATGTGTGTGTGTGTGTGTTTGTGCGTCTGCTTGCGTGTGTGTGCATGTATTTGTATTGTCGTCATATATATATATATATATATATATATATATATATATATATAGTTAAGTAAAAGAAAACCTTGGTAATCCGTATGGATAATCCGAAAGAGGATGAAATCCGGAGAGCTCGATATATATATATATATATATATATATATATATATATATATATATATATATATATATATATATAATAATAATAATATTAATAATGATAATGGCTTTACATATATATATATATATATATATGTAAATCCATTATCATTATTAATATTATTATTGTTGTTGTTGTTATAGCAACTGCTTCATAAATGATGGAAAATATTCACTCGTTAAGAAATATAGATTTGCCGATCGTTCATCCCCGTTAAAAGTATTTTAGTCATATTTACTACATATATTAATGATAGCGTTACGAAATCACTTTTGTGCATGTTTAAAAGTCGGTAACTCCATTTTTTTTCGATTAAACAGAGCATACTTGATGAAAACAAAGTTTTATCGTCAATATTTTTATGCTATTATTAACAGGAAAGACCATAGTATCCTTTGATTATTATTATTATTTAATCCTTTCTAATTGTTTCGAAATTTTTGTTGAATATCTTCTTTTTCTTGGATCAGCAAAGGAGCAAAGATTACTAATTAAAATTTTGCGGTAAAAACACATTGTTTTGGAAATCCTACAAAAAAATTTAATAATTATGGTATTTTACTGAAATTTTCCGGACTTATTTACAAATGAATGAAATTATTTTGCAACATTTTTTAGAGAATCTTAGTAACAATATTTTGTTTTTTACATGTTAGCCCACTTGCTTAATTTTACGAAATTTCGAGAAATTAAATTTAGATTCTCGCTATTTATTTATATTAGTTAAAAGCAGGACTCCTTGGAGAATGTAAGTCATCAATACATCATCATCAGTTACCGAAGACCTTCTTTGAATCGTAAAATGAAAATTGCAATAAAATCGTAGCAATGTGTAAATAGAAAAGCTTTTAATTACTTTTAGAAATAGGATATATTCAGGGCACCTTTGTCTTAAGAAAAATATTTTTTTTAATGAACTTTTACAAGAATTGTTATCATTTTTTTAAATTTTAATTATAATAATTTATAAAGTTTTAAATCTTTTAAAATTTTGTATTAATTCCAGCCTTTTAGATCATATTATTAATTGAAAACTATATTTACTAAAAATAAATGATAAAGCTTAATACAAATTATCACGCACCAATATTTTAAAAGAATTTTGATTTTTTTTTTGTGTATAAGTGTAATCATTTTTTTAAATTACGATTGACTATACACAACATTATAAGAAAATAAGAGCTATGACTATGGTAAATTTAAAGTACACATTTCTAAAATTTTATTAGATTATGGATAATATTTTCCTAATTTTTTAAGATTACTGAGCACTTAAAATTATACAAAAAAGGCGCTCACATTATGTTCTTAAATTATGTTTTACAAATAAAGTCTCCGTAGGACAACATTACATCTGTCATCAGGTTGTCAATACGTCAAATAAGTTTAAAATACAGCTACTGTCAAATTCATAAATGCTTTCTGCGATATTTAAACTTAAAGAAAATAATATTTGATTAAAATCAGATTAATTATACTTTAAAACATCTAATATCCCGCAAATAATGTTTTACAAAAGTATGTTTTATTTTTTTAGATAATTTTTAAAACGGAGAACTTACTTGTGTTTAAAAATATCTCAAAAATCGACGACTTTGATGATCTTACTGAAAGAAAAATGAAAACTGATTCCAATCAATATAATCCCCGTTTGAAATACACCAGAGTATTTTCCTTGCTGGAAATAGTAAATTTAATCCTTTAGTTTTCAGCTAAAGCTAAAATGACAGCTTCAAGAAAAATTTTCATTTTTTAAAAATTAATTTAAAATCTTAGTTATCGAGATTTTTGTAAAGGTAAATATTTAAAATAGAATCACACAGACGTAAATAGCAATATAGAAAAACTAAGGTCATTTGTACCATATCTGTAAATAATGTAGCAAACATGATTGGCAATAAAATAAGCTTGTTTAAAATGTATATCAATTAAGATAATGAATGAACAAATAGTGATATGTATTTTAATAAAATTTTAAAAGAATACAAAGCTCGCGAATAATATCACTTTCCATTTCTTTAAAAATCCGCGTTTTCTTGGCGAAACGAAAAAGACTTCGCAGCCACTGCAAGCATCATTAATTATTTCTTCTTCTTCTTCTTCTTCTTCTTCTTCTTCTTCTTCTTTATCTACTTCTTCCTTCTTTTTTCATCTTCTTCTTTCTTCTTCTTCGTTTTACTTTTTTCTTCTTCTCCTCCTACCTTATTCTTCTACTTCTTGTTTCTTCTTTTTTCTTCCTTCTTCTTCTTGCTTCTTCTTCTTTCTTGCTCTTCTTTCTTCTTTGTTCTTCTTATCCTTTCTTCTCCTTCCTCTTGTTTTTCCTTCTTCTTACTTCTTCTCCCTTCTCCTTCATCTTCCTTCTTCTTCTTTCTTCTTCTTCTTCATAGTTCTTTTTATTCCTTCTCTTTTCTTCTTTTCTTCTTCTTGGTTTTCTTCCTTCTTTTTTCATCATCTCCTTTATTATTCTTCTTCTTTGTTTTACTCTTTCTTCTTCTTCTACTTTATTCTTCTACTTCTTCTTCTTCTTTCTTCTTCCTTCTCCTTTTTTTATTCTTATTCTTCCTTCTTCTTCTTTCTTGCTCTTTTTTCTTCTTCCTTCTTCTTATCCTTTCTTCTTTTTCCTTCTTTGCTCCTCTTCTTTTTTTTTCATCTTCCTTCTTCTCCTTTCTTTTTCTTCTTCTTAATAGTTCTTTTTATTATTTCTCCTTTCTTCTTGTTCTTCTTCTTTTTTCCTCTTTCTTCTTCTTCCTCTTCTTCTCCTTCTTCTTCTTCTTCTTCTTCTGCTTGTTATTCTTCTTTCTTCCGTCTTCTTCTTCCTTCTTTTTTCTTTTTCTTTCTTCTTATTCTTTCTTCTTCTTCTTCTTCCGTCCTTTTCTTCTTTCTTTTTTTTCTTACTCCTTTTTCCTCCTTCTTTTGCTTCCTCCTTCTTCTCCGATTTCTTTCATATTCCTTCTTCTTCTTTTTCTTCTTCTTCGTCGGCATTCTTCTTCCTTCTACTTTTTTCATTATTCATTCTTTCCTCTTCATCTTCTTCTTTCTTCTTCATTCTTTTTCTTCTTCTTTCTTCTTCCTTCTACTTTCTTCTTTTTCTCCTTCTTCCTCCTTCTCCTTTCTTCTTCTTCCTTCTTCTTTCCTCTTCTTTTTCCTCCTTTTTTTCTTTTTATTCTTCTTCTTCCTTCTTCTACCTTCTCCTTCTTCCTTATTTTTCTTCTTCTCTCTATTTATTCTTATTTCTTCTTCTTCTTCTTCTTCCTTATTCTTCTTCTTACTCCTTCCTATTCATTCTTCTTCTTCTTTCTTTTTATTCCTTCTTCTTCTTGTTCTTCGTTCTTCTACTTCTTCTTTCTTCTTCCTCTTCCTCCCCCTTCATCTTCCTTCTACTTTCTTCTTATCCTTCCTCCTTCTTCCTCCTCCTCCTCCTCCTTCTTTATGCCACTTCTTTTTTCCCTATTCATCATCTTCATTCTACTTCTTTTTTCTTTTCCTCCTTCCTTTCTTTTTCATTTTTCCTTCTTCTTCCTCCATTTTCTTCTTCCTTCTACCTCTTCCTCTTCCTTCTTCTTATTCCTTCTTTTTCTTATTCCTTCTTCGTCCATCGCCTTCTTCTGTCCTCTTCTTTCTTTCTTCTTCTTCTTCTTCTTTTGCAGGGAAAAAGTACATGTATTTGGTTTTATCATTACTTTTATTTTGTTTAAAGCTCTGGAAAGAAAGTTATGAAACAACGAGGTTAGTAATTTTAGTATTATTTAGTTTAAAGAAGTTATACTTTGGCAGACTTTTACGAACGTGGGCTGAAACGTCCATAGGCTGACTATGATGGGATGATGTTAGAGTTGTGAAATCTTGCAGGCATTAATTTCAACTCTTCTTATCAATAGCTGCATTGTTTCTTTCCAGGTATCCTGACATCTGAATTTTCAAACAAGACAGATTATCCTGTTGGTTAGAAAGTTAATCAACAGCTGATATGACGTCATCCTCCATGCGATACTGGTTCCCAACCAAGTGTTTTTTCATGTTGGGGAACAAATGATCGTCAATTCAGAATAGGAAAGGTGATGAACCAGTTCAGAGCCAAAGTGACACACAGCAACAATTGTAACTAAGAACATGTGCTGGAGCATTGTCCGGATAAGACAAGACAGCTTTCGTCAGTTTTCCTTGGTGTTTGGTTTTGATAGCTTTTCGTAACTCAGCAAGTTGGCATAGTACTCTCCATTGATGGTTCGGCCCTTTTGAAGATATTCAATAAACAAATTGCCTTTTGCGTACCCCGGCCAAAAAAAAATTGTAGATGAAATAACGATAACCTTCTTTAGAGCAGGTAAGAAGGGATGTTTCACTGCATCTTTGTCTCGGGCTCAAAGTGATGACGTCAACATTTATTTTGCGTTAGGAAACATTTATGGAAATCAGCTGGATCTGCCCCAAACAATATCAGATTTTCCCGTAATCTTCTCACTCTGGTGCCCTTTTGATCAGGTTCAAGAAGACGTGGCACCACCGAGCAGAAACCTTCGTCATGCCAAGTTCTTTGTGCGGAATATTCTCAACCCTCTCACAAGATATGCTAATAGCACTGGCTATTTGATTTGTAGTCAATCGCCTGTTATCCATCACCATGTGGTGAACAGGATCAATGTTTTCCTCGGTGGTGGCTGAAGCAGGAAGTTCACACCTTGGGTCATCCTGCAGATTCTCTCTTTCCATCCTAAATTCAATTCCCCACTTTTGCACTGTTGATAAATCTGGAGTATCTTCCCCTCATGTAGCAACCATAACAACATAAATGTCCTTGGTGACTAAGATCCCTTTTTTTGGAGGTACATGATAATGCCACGATGCTACATGTTTTCCATTTTCAAGATGTTGCTATTAGTTGCTTTTGAAGTTTTCTTTAAACAGTCAGAAATCAGTTTAACTGGTAGGAAACAATGCAGTTATTAGAGTTGGCATATGACTCTCCAGTGATATTGTAGCCCTTTTTAAAATAGTCAATAAACCCAATGTGTTTTGTATCCCAAGAAACTGAGGCCATCACCTTCCTTGCAGAGGAAACGGCCACAGTCTTCTTTGGAACCGGTGAGGAAGGGAGTTTCCACTGCATAGATTGTCTTTGTCTCTGGCTCAAAGTGATGAACCTAACACTCATCCTGGGTTAGGAAACATTCAAGGAAACCAGATGGATTTGCCTTAAAAAAATGTCATTTTCCCAGGATTTAGCACTTTTGATCAGGTATAAGGAAACGTCGCACCCACCAAACAACAATGACAATATAAATATCCTTGGGGACTAAAAACCTTTTTCTGCACGTACTTGATAACACCACGATGCCATTTTTTTTCTTTTAAAGAGAAGACACTATTAGTTATTTCCGAAGTCTTCTTTGGGAATCCAGATATCAGTTTATCTGTGAATAAACGATGCAGTTATTAACAAAAAGAGTTAAAATTAATGTCTAACGTCTCTCCTTTATAATCAGCCGATCAACTGTTCAGCCCACCCTCGTAAAAGTGAAATTTGTTTGATCTTCACTAAATTATACTGCCGGAATAGTTTCATATTTATTGATCTTCCAATCTTGAAATAATGTTTAAGTCTTTCCAATGATTATGTGCCTGTCCTCACTTTCACACTAGAAAGGTTTTCGTGTCTGGCAAAATCCTTAAACATTTCTTTTTTTTTATCATTTATTCTCATACTGTCGTATGATAGAATAGTAACCTCCATTAACATATTTTTTGTCTCTGTTTATAATATTTACATTTGATCTATTCGCTTCAATAATTTTCCTTAAATTTACAAGGTTTATAGAATTAGTACTCAAACATTCGACCGACGGGCATTTGGCCAACCGACATTTAACCGAATGGTTAACTCAAAATGTGGTGGTGTACTTACATGTATGTCACGCTATTTATCGTAATGTACTACATATATATATATATATATATATATATATATATATATATATATATATATATATATATATATATTAATTCATAATTTTTCGTTTTTTTCTTTGACAGGCTTTTTTAAATAACCTATTTGTATATATTATATGTTACTTCAAATATTACTGTAAGATAATAAGTATTTTGAGAAAATCCTTTTACGATATGAAAGGTCTTTCAATTTTGCTTTTAGTGATCATTAACTTAAAGGGATAAGCTAGCTTTTATCTTATTGTTAAATACGAATTTAAATAATTAGGTGCTATTTTTTTACCCAAATACACTCAAATATTTTTAAAAATATAATTTCAATAAACAAATGTTAAAATAAGAAAACTTTTAACTTTAAATTTAGATTTAGTAATTTAATCACTTGAAATTCACTGGTAATTATTAGTCCTAGTCTATGTTATAATACTGCTAATTAAAATACTTAAAGTATTACTTGTTACTATTTTTACTTTTCACTTTTTCGGTGAAATGTCCGTTCGGTCAAATGTCCGGTCGGTCAAATATCTCTCGGCCAAATGTCCGGCCACGCAAAGATTTTAATATTTTAAGTTCCGACGACTTCTACTTAGTGTCTGTAGCATTTGCTTGTTGTGTTCAAATGCTTGGTTTTTTTGTTTTTTTTTTGTACAATTCATAGTAAATCACGGTGACCACCCATTCATATAGACTTTTAACTGATTTCTTTACTAATTTGCGACATTTTCAGATAATGGACAGTTTCATCTCTAACCGGATGGTATTTGTTATTTGTTGTAATTCATCAATTTTCGGCTGAATTCTAATCCCGGGGCCGTTTGCTTATGAGGATCAAGAGACAATTTCCTCACCTGTACTGTTTAATTCGATTTCATAAAAAGGAATAAAACATACAATTAATGCAGTATGATTATTTTCATTCAAATTTTTCATGAGAAATGCGATCTGTGTGTGTATGCGCGTGCGTTTATATATATATATATATATAAACGCAAACTCTATATATATATATATATATATATATATATATAAACCTATATAGGATTGGTGTATACGGAATAAATTCCAATAACATAGAAATATTATTCTTAAAAAGTGCTAAATACAGAGTAGAGCAAATATAATTAGTTATTCGAAAATTATGACATAAATATGTTATAAAATCACTAAAAAAAATAGCCATTTTGTTTCAACACTTCTAGTGTCTTATCAAGTGATGGCGTTGAATATAGAATAAAGGGTTTTAAAAGGTCCTTTTATTCTATATTCAACACCATCTTGATAAGACATCATAAATGTTGAAACAAAATAGCTATTTTTTAGTGATTTTATAACATATTTGTGTTATAATTTTCGAATAAATAATATATATATATATATATATATATATATATATATATATATATATATATATTACGAAGCAAAATTATTTGGAAACACCCCAAAATTTTTATTTCTCGTCCTAAAAGTGTTATTTTCAATGAAACAACAATAGTTTTATTTATTATACTAAATACTAGTCTTCCTGGGCCACATTAATTACAAATTAAACCAAAAAATCACAAAAAACGTCTTAAACTTTTGATTCATCAAAATATGCCTTTTATTCACTATCACTGCTTCACAGATTGTTGGCATTCTTTCCACCAAAGACTGGATATAGACTGAAGATAGTTCTCCCCGGATTTCTTACACGAGTTGCCAGAGTTGAGCTACACGTGTGGGTTGTTTAGCTCTGACTTTTCAGTCAAGTTCATCATACAAGTTCAATCGTATTTAAGTCCTCTGCTGCTGCAGTATGACGTGATAGCAGGTCTGATTCAATTTTCTCGTCACCTGGTGCAATTTCCGACTTTGCAATTGGAAAAGCCCCTCACATACACACACTCACTATAACAGAGCCTCTTCCATACTTTAGGGTTGGTGTGATACAGGGATTTCAGTCTGTTTCACCAACTCTTCGCCGCACATAGACCTGGTGGTTGGTAGGGGGGGGGCTAAATATTCATTTTTTCATTCAAAAAGAAATAACCGTTCAAAAATTAATATAATACGATTTTCTATATTTTTTTATATTTTCTCTCTCTCTCTCTCTCTCTCTCTCTATATATATATATATATATATATATATATATATATATATATATATATATATATATATATCACTTTCAAGACGGACCTACCCTGAAAATTATTGACGGTTCCTATTTCCTATTTTTCCTATTTTTTGTAAGGTGGCAATCTCAGAAAATCAGCAGGGGATGACATACTTAATTTCCTTACTGTAGGCCAGCTTCACAGTGTCCTCTCCTCACAGTGGATGGTGACATATTTTTTCACGACATTGGTTAGTTGTGTAGTGTTGTTTGGAGCAGTCAGCCTTCTGTCACAAAAGCTGGTGACTCTTATAAAGTTGTCCTCTGCTTTTGTTGTTGCTTTTGGTCTACCAGTCGTACTTTTGGTCTTGTTTTATCCTGTTTCCTGTTGTCTCCTAACAGAATAACCCAGTGTAGTTCTGGGAACTTTTTTTTTAATTTCTCTGCTTGAATATCATTCTGTTTTTTTTTTAAGTAATGATCTCTTTTATTTGTTCAAGTGTAAGTTCATTTTTTTTTTTTTTTTTTGCGACAAAAGTTTTGATCTGGTAGAAAGTTGCAAAATTTAGGTTTAAATTTAAACAAAATAAGAATAACAAATTTCACTACTGGGCAAGGTACATTGGCAGCATGAATAAAGCAGTCAGTATCTAGCAAGCAGTAATTCAACACAATATAGTCTAATGCGTGTT